TTACTGCTGCTACAGCTGCATGTGTCCACTTTACTGCAGCTGCTGCATGTATTCACTTTACTGCTGCTGCATGTGTCCACATTACTGCTGCTTCAACCGTATGTGTCCACATTACTACTGCTGCGTGTGTACACGTTACTGCTGCTGTATGTGTCCACATTACTGCTGCTGCAGGTGTCCACATTACTGCTGATACATGCATTCACTTTACTGCTGCTACATGTGTCCACATTGCTGCTGCTGCATGTGTCCACATTACTGCTGCTGTGTGTCCACATTACTGCTGCTGTATGTGTCCACTTTACTGCTGCTACATGTGTCCAGCTTATTGCTGCTGCAGGTGTCCACATTACTGCTGCTGCAGGTGTCCACATTACTGCTGCTGCAGGTGTCCACATTACTGCTGCTGTATGTGTCCACATTACTACTGCTGCAGCTGCATGTGTCCACATTTACGGCTGCTGCAGCTGTATGTGTCTACATTAACTGCTGCTGCATGTGTCCACATTACTGCTGCTACAGCTGCATGTGTCCACTTTACAGCAGCTGCTGCATGTGTCCACATTACTGCTGCTGCATGTGTCCACATTATTGCTGCTATAGCTGCATGTGTCCACTTTATTGCAGCTGCTGCATGTGTCCACATTACTGTTGCTGCTTTTTTTTCACTTTACTGCTGCTGCATGTGACCACATTACTGCTGCTGCATGTGTCCAAATTACTGCTGCTGCTGTATGTGACCACATTACTGCTGCTGCATGTGTCCAAATTACTGCTGCTGCTGTATGTGACCACATTACTGCTGCTGCATGTGTCCAAATTACTGCTGCTGCTGTATGTGTCCAGCTTATTGCTGCTGCAGGTGTCCACATTACTGCTGCTCTAAGTTTCCACATTACTGCAGCTGTATGTGTCCACACTACTGCTGCTGCATGTGTCCAGCTTATTGCTGCTGCAGGTGTCCACATTACTGCTGTTGCATGTGTCCACATTACTGCTGCTACATGTGTCCACATGAGTCATTGTGTGACTTATCAACAATTCTTGGCATGAAACCATTCTGCTGCTCACAAATTGTCACCTCTCGTCTAAGTCCTGCTTCCACAACTCTCTCCCAGATTTTCCTCATGTGACTCATCAACTTAATTCCCCTACAGTTCCTATAACTCTGTACATCTCCCTTGTTCTTAAAAATAGCCACCAGCACGCTTCTTCTCCATTCCTCAGGCATTTTCTCACCCTCAAACATACCATTGAATATTTGAGTCAAAAACCTCACCACCATCTCTCCAAGACATTTCCAAACCTCCACTGGTATGTCATCAGGTCATACCGCCAGCCCCTTCTGTATTCTATTCAGAGTTTTCCGGACTTCACCCTCTCTAATCTTTCCCACTTCCTGGTCCACAGTTTCTATGACCTCTATTCGTCTGTCTTTCATTCTGTTCATATCATGTTTATTTTAGGTTCTTTAATACTGTTAGGGTCCACATATACCAGCAAAAGAGACCCAGGAGATTGGCCATAAAGAGCTTTAAATTTAGTTACAAAAACTCAAAATACTGCAGTTCTGGGCCCATAAGAGGTCAACAGAACAAAATTTAACTAAGGTACCCACATAGGAAAGTAAAGCACCAACTAAACCCCTGATTGAGATGAGAGGGAAACATAAAGTTGCTGATCAGGCCATTCTGACACACTGGGGGAACAAATAGACTAAATTACAAATAGTGTTAACAACAAAACATAACTGATAAAGTAGAACTACATAGTTTCCTCAAAATATATTCTCAACAAATTTGATCTTAGCACTATCTTTATCTAAGCACAGTGGTGCAGTTGGTAGAGCTGCTGCCTCTCAGCGAGCAGGTTGCCATGACTCAAATCCTGGCCAGGGGCTTTTCTGGGTGAAGTCTGCATGTTCTCTCTGTGCATGCGTGGGTTTTTTCCGGGTACTCTGGTTTCCTCCCAAAAACATGAATGTTAGGCTGATTGGTAACAGGGTAATTCAGAGTATCCAGGAGCATTTATAGCCACAGTTCACTCCTGGTATTAATTAATAAATGTAGCATAAAGAAAGTAGGAGTGGTGGCGCAGAGGTTAGAGAAGGTGGGCCTGTGATCGGAAGATCGTTTGTCCAACTCCCGTTACCGACAACATAAAAATGTAGATGGGATAAGTAAAGCACCCACACCTGCCTAAACCCTCATTTGCCCCATTCTGGGCCCTTGAGCAAGGCCCTTAACCCCCACCATCTGCTCCTCCGGGCACCCCAGATAGCAGCTCTCTGCTCCACACAGAGGGCTGTGGTAGCTCGGTGGCGTCAGGCATCCAGCATAAAAATAATTGCCAAGTCTTTATTCAGTTCAGTTTGCTGTGGTGACCCCTGAAGAAGGAAGCAGCTGAAAAAACAGAAAAGACTGCCTCTTTTTCAGGACCCCAGGACCTGCGGTCACATTTTAGAGCCGTCCAAGACTGTTCTTTTTTTTTTTTAAGTTTATTTTGACTTAAATAATGTCTAATTGGTGTCTTACATATTCGCTTCGAGGTCATTCTCTCTGATGTTTCTTTGGCTGCATATATAAAATGCTAACACATTCTTTTAAGTTTAAAAATTAAACACAGTTTATTCATTAATTTTTATTTGATTATGAAATATTTATTTATTGCAGTGATTATATGAAGTTATTCAAGTGTTCTAGGTTAACACATTTGTTACCATAGCATACCATTTTATTTATAAAGCACTTTAAACAGCGACAGGGCCAATCAAAGTGCTGTACAAACAGAAACAAACAGGCAAAGCCTGTTGTTTGTTTTGTTTTCCCACATAGTGTACCTAATTTTAACGAGAACAAATAAAAAGTAATAAAAGGAGGAGCAAGTGTCGCCTCCTTTTCCTCCCTCCTCACACTTTCTTCAAGTCAGGTAAAAAGTCTGACAAAAACTCAGAATAAGGGCCTGGTGGACAAAAAAAACAAGTCATCAATGTTTTGCTGCGCTGTTTACTAAAATGCAATGAATAATAAAAAAATTATTTCAAATTTCAATAAAACTGTAATTATTATTACAATTATTATACAATTATTATTGTAGTTATAATTATTATGACAAGATGTGCGCATCCTTGATAAAGAGGAACGTTGGTTTAAGAGAGGAGTGAAGGAAGCCATCTTTGTGAAGAGAACCCGTCCATCATTAAACAGAGGGCAGAGGCCTCCGTGTCCAACTCTTCCCCTCTGTTATTACTAGTATCACTCAGCTCTCTGTGAATAGCAAGCGGCCATCAGAGCGCTAACGATCGGTCGTTAGGTTGATGGTCCTCCTTTAGCATGTGAACAGCTAGTTTTGAATGTCAAAATCCACTATGAGAATGAACTATTTTAAAACTGAGTTTAGTGCAGCTCCTCAGCCTGATAAAATATTTTGGATAAAAGACGAAATGTTTCAACAAGGTTTTTTGTTTGTTTGTTTGTTTGTTTTTTGACGCTGTCCAGAGGACCTGACTTAATTTTGTTAGATGTAATTATTTTACCGTAAAAAATGTGATATTTTTGCTTTAAGGCCCAGTCCTGTCCTCAGTCTTTGCTCTGAGTCTCAGTAAAATGGAGTCCAGAGTCTGGTAGCAGAGTTCTGGTTGGACTAACATGTTAAGAACGTCTTTAGTTAAAGTTTAATTCTGCTGTAGACCAGTTATCATCTTGATTGTTTTATCAAAGTGGTGTTACAGGGTTGGATTGATGTTTTGACCCATTACTCTGACTGGGCCTGTAGGGAGGCTCATTACAGAACACTCTGTCTTGTTTTCTCATCAACATGATCGGTGTTTGCTTCAGTCAGGGTTAATCTGAGAGTTTATGGACTGACGTCATCAGCGATGCACGTAGCACCTAGAAAGATGGCGACTAAGCTCTCGCCTATCTCCATCGTTGGCCGTTTCTGTGTGTCTCTAATTCAGTGATTCTGATGGGTCTGTGGTGCTGGTTTTGAATCCTGACCCGATTCTGACGGATCAGTGTGGACCTGGTTTCTACGTGACCCGGTTCTGTTGGGTCCAGTCTCTCAGCTCCATCATGTTTAATATGAATTATTCATGCAGAGCCAAAGTCTCGCGGTGTTTCCATTCAGACATCTTGTCATTAGAATAATTTAACAGAACCTCTTCTGTTATTAGAAATCAGTCAGTTCGGTTCGGACCCGGGTGGGTTTCTCTGTGGGTCCTGTAAAGTCTGATCTGGTACCGAAAGTGTGGTGTGAGTCTGGACTGAGCCTGAGGACAGTTCTGTGCGGGACCCTGCTGGTTTTGTTCGTCAGCTCCATCGGAACCGATCCGGGTTCTAAGTCTTTGTTTCGGTGAGGAAACATGGCGACTCCAGCTGCGGTCAACCCGTCCGGTAAGAGTTCGGTTCGGTGTGTGAGAGAGAGAGAGAGGATGGATGCATGTGATGGAGAGAGGAGAACCGGAGGCCCACAGGCCGCTGGTACCGTCCGGTCCAGGTTCCACTCCCGGACCCCTTCCTTCAGAGGTCAGATCAGATTGAGCAGTTCTGGACCGAACCTGGTCCATCCTGATGTCGAAATAAACAGGATGTGTATTTTATCTGGTCTTTGTCTCCTCCCCCTCGGACCGTTATTCCGAACCGAACCTGTGACTGCAGCATCACACAGGACACATCTGGATGTGTGTGCGTGTTCTGTTGGACCGGGTCAAGGGTGTGTAGGTTTAATGAACTGGTTCAGAACCATCTCCACACACAGCAGAACTACAGAGTTCTGAACTCGGCCGGGTTCCTGAAACGAGTTCTTGTTTTGTTTTTAAGGAAGTACATATGTACTGTGTACTAGGAATACTGTATACTCACACTGTGCATATGTGCTGTGAGTACACTGGCAGTACTTATATACTGTACACTAGGAAGACTTACACATGTGAGTACATAAACACTGCGTACTAGAAAAAAAAACTTTTACACTGTAGTACTCATATACTGTGTATTTGGAATACTTCTACAAATGCACTGGGAGTACATTTATACTATATTCTATGAGTTATTTTTTACGTATACACTATGAGTACATATCCATATACACATTGTGTACTTGTAATACTTACACATCTGGAAGTACATGTAACATTAACACATAACATATGTAATACCGGTATATCCATAGATAAATATTGTTATTAACTGATTTTTATGTATGTGAACGTTTCTGTACAGTGTCCTGAGGTGACTTCTGTTGTGAGTTGTCTCTACAGTATATAAATAAACTGAATGGAATTGAATTATACAATGGCAGGATGTAAGATCCAGGCAGGCAAAGCATACATGGAACCCCAAAACCAAGTGGCTGGAACAGTGAACAGAAACATCTGGAACAGGGAATGGGAACATCTGGAACAGTACACATGAACACCTGGAACAGTAAATGGTAAATGGACTGTACTTATATAGCGCCTTTCTATCTGATCAAGATACTCAAAGCTCTTTACAACGCAATCTGTGCCCTCATTTACCCATTCATACATCATTCTACTAGATCTGTACAAAGAATAATCAGTGCTGTATCACATTCATGCACCGATGGGACACACATCGGAGACAATGAGGGGTTCAGTGTCTTGCCCAGAGACACTTCAGCATGTGACTGCTGGTGGAATCGAACCCCCAACTCTTGCATTGGAGAATGACTGCTCTAACCACTCAGCCACAGCTGCCCCAGTACACAGGAACATTTGGAACAGTGAACAGGAACATCTGGAACAGTACACTGGAACATCTGGAACAGTGAACAGGTTCATCTGGAACAGTACACTGGAACATCTGGAACAGTGAACAGGTTCATCTGGAACAGTACACAGGAACAGTGAACAGGAACATCTAGAATAATATACAGGAGCAGTACACACGAACATCTGGAACAGTTAACAGGAACAGCTGGAATAATACACAGGAACATCTAGAATAATATACAGGAGCAGTACACATGAACATCTGGAACAGTTAACAGGAACAGCTGGAATAATACACAGGAACATCTGGAACAGTGAACAGGAACATCTAGAATAATATACAGGAACAGTACACATGAACATCTGGAACAGGAACAGCTGGAATAATAAACATGAACATCTGTAACAGTGAACAAAAACATCTGGAACTGTACACAGGAACATTTGGGATAATACACTGGAACATTGGAACAGCACAGGAACATTTGGAACAGTTAACAGCAACATCTGGAATAATGCACAGAACCATCTGGAGCAGTGAACAGGAACATCTGGAATAATGCACAGGAACATTCGGAACAGTGAACAGAAACATTTGGAACAGTACACAGGAACATCTGGAACAGTACACAATAACATCTGGAACAGTGCACAGGACCATCTGGAACAGCATACACGACCATCTGGAATAATTTACAGGAGCATCTGTGCTTAGTATGGACTGGAGGTCCCACAGTCACAGTGGGAGACTCCACCAAGTTTAGTGTAGAATGGAAAGGCTAAGATACAGTGGAACCTCCATATCCAGACTGACAAACAAGTGATGGCTAACCAGTCAGACTTTGTGGTGGTCGACAACAAGAGAAGATGGCAGTGGTAACAAATTGAAAAATTTGAAAGATTCAATGATTCAGGTGAATGATAAGTCAATTTCCACCATATGCTCTGGACATACAGGAAAACTTGAGATATCGTTACTCTCTTTCTCATAACTTTAAGAATGGAAGTAGATTTAGAGAAGATAAAAAGTAAGATAAAATATACATTATACATATACAATAAAAGTTGGACTTCCAGTTCATTTTAGTTTTTTATTTTTATTTTGTTTGTTTGTTTGTTTTTTCATTCACAGTCCAGAAGCAGGCGGCAGAGGGTGTAAGTGGAATACAGAGTTCAGCATCTTGACAGCCTAGCCCTAGTGCATTTGTGGAGCACGCCCGGAGGGTCCGATACCTTTTTCCTGAAAGAATCAGGTTGAAGAGAGTGTGAGGTGTCCCAAGCAATGAATGCTGATGGCTCTTCATGTGAGACTGGATTGGTGAATGTCTTAGAGGGAGGGCAGAGCAGAGTCAATGATCTTGCTAGCTGTATTTACGATGCGTTGGATGGAGACTCTGACGGCAGGAGGCGGTGCAGCCTCCATACCACACAGTGATGGAGAATGTTCTCGATGGTACCCCAGTAGAATGATTGCTGGAACGCCTGCTCTGTTCTGTTTGTGGAGGACATAAAGGCAGATTTGGGCTTTTTTTGGTTAGCGATGTGATGTTGGACCAGGAAAGGTCCTCAGTTATGTGTATTCCCAAGAATTTGGCTCACCCTTTCCACAGCAGCACTATCGATGGCCAGAAGGGGAGCTATTGCTGTACTCCTGAAGTTAACCATAATTTCCTTAATCTTTGTCAGATTCATGATCAGGTTATTAGCCTTACACCACTGGACCAGTTGGCTCACCTCATTTCTGTAGTTGGCTTCATTGTTGTTACTGATGAGGCCGACTACAGTTGTATCATTCCCAAACTTCATGATGTTTTCAGTTCTGTACATTGGTGCATGTCCTGGATCATGAGGGTGAAGAGCAATGGGATGGGTAGCGCACAACCTTGTGAGGCATAGATGTAGCAATCCCAAGAGACTGTAATATCAGGAAGAAGGAGCAGCTGGAGAAATACCAAGGGCTGAGAGAGGAAATACAGAAGCTGTGGAGAGTCAAGGCCTCAGTAGTCCCAATGTTCATTGAAGCACTTGCTGCTGTGACACCCAAACTGTAAAAGTGGCTCCTACAGATTCCAAGAACAACCTCAGAGATCTCTGTCCAGAAGAATACAGTCCCAAGAACAGCTTACCTCACAGAATCCTCAAAATCCTAGGCCTTTGGTAGAGGACTTGAGTTTTGAAGTGAAGTACTTTGTAGAACTGTCCAAGTAGAAGATTAGGACTAGCAATCAGGCTTGTCAAAGAACAGTGATGATTTCTGTATTGTTATTTTAATGTCTTGTCTAGTATGGATGTTTCGTGTGCCTACTGACTGTGAAACAAATTTTCCCTCTGGGATAATAAAGATTATTTGAACTTGAACTAGGACGGATAATTTTTGGATGATATAGACAATAACAAAGAATTTAACATCATTGGAATGCTACTATACAAGCAGTCTTAGCTTATATGAAAGATGTGACTCAGAAACAACTTCAGACCCAGTGTTATAACATTACAGAAAGAAACTTGCTGTCACGCCTAAAGATTGACAAGGTACAAAAAAGATACTATGACAGGGGAGCCAGGACGACAGGTCAAGGGGTATATGGTGTCATCCCCATCATCTGAGTATGGGTACCAAGCCTCATTAAGAAACCTCAAGGATTTGAATACAAGAGCAGGTGACCTAAGAATGAATAGTTTGAACAAGATAGACACATGTGACCTGCAACAGCTGCCAAAGCTAAGTGACAAAGTATCCTCTGAAACTTTGTTAAAGATGTGATTACAGCACTGCTAAGTATCCCTAGTGAGACCATCACAGAGACTACAAGCCTACAAAACAGAAAGCAAACCACAGAACAACAATGAAACTGGTTGATGATGTGGATTGCTGCTCCTTGTTTTGTGGACTTGTGTTGCTGTTAAAGTCATGAAGGTGAATGCAGACAGTATTAAATATTAACTCTGTTCCCAGGGCTGCTGAGAGTGCCTGAGGGTTTGTATAGCACATCCATGTGAATGAGTGAGTAAGCAAGGCGGGTGGCACAGTATTAAAACTCTTTCGTGAAAAATACAGAACTTAAGAGTACCATCCATCCTGACTACAAAACAGAGCAAAGACTGTCTGATTCCTCTGTTATTGCATAGGCAAAGTGGCAACAAGCAAACACAAGCAAGTTAACAAAATCTTATTTCAAAGACGTAAGTGAACAAGACATACTAGCTTACGCCTATGGTGTTAACCACATTTTGGCCTAGGTGAACTATAGTGTTAGCCAGATGTTGTACTAGGTTAATCTATGTTTTAGCCAGATGTTGGAATATGTAAATCTATGGTGTTAGCCAGATGATGGAATAGGTAAATCTATAGTGTTAGCCACATGTTGGACAAGGTGAACCTATGGTGTTAGCCTCACGTTGGACACGGTGAACCTATGATGTTAGCCTCACGTTGGACAAGCTGAACCTATGGTGTTAGTCATATGTTGGACTAGATAAATCTAGTGTTAGCCAGATGATGGAATAGGTAAATCTATAGTGTTAGCCAGATGTTGGAATAGGTGAACCTATGGTGTTAGCCTCATGTTGGACAAGGTGAACCTATGGTGTTAGCCACATGTTGGACTAGGTAAATCTATA